ACTCTGGCCAACCCTCTGTTCTATGTACTGAGTGACTATTACTATAGCAGACAAACTGTGGAATATGTATTTTAACATAAAGCACATTAATGATACAAATCTTTGGCTGAAATAAAAAAAAAGGGGGACCATGGTAGTGTATTCACTTGCACTGAATAACATTAGAGAGTTACTGCAGCAATTTCTAATACAGTTGGCCCTCCACATTTGCAACATTGACTTTTGAGGCTTTGATTATTTGCTGTTCTCTCTAGGAATCTGTAGGTCCTCCAGTGCAACTCTGCCAGATGTTGACTATAGAGTTGTGCTGGAGAACCTAGAACCATGATGGAAAACCTATGGCATGCATGACAGAGATGGCATACAACGCCATTTTCCCTGGCACATGGTGAGGAGGAAGAAGAGGTGCGTGCCTGTTCCTCTTCTTCCCCCTTTGCCCCCCTGGGCCTTCACCTGTCTCTGGAGAGGCAGCTGAAGGCCTGGGAGGGCAGGGGAAAGAAATCCTGGCGCGGAAATCTCGCCTCCAGAGGGTGGAAGTCCCACCCCCCCTGTACCAGGTAACACACGGTGCCAGAATACCTTTTAGTACCTTTATAGACTGCCAGAAATAATGCAGCCTGAGGCCACTTTAACTGTCCTGGCTCAATCCTAAGGAATCATAGGAACTGTAGTTTATTGTGGCACCAGAACTCTCTTGACAGAGAAGGTGGCTAAATGTCTTGCAAAACTACAGTTCCCAGAATTCCACAGCATTGAGCCAGGACTGTTAAAGTGGTCTCAAACTGGATTATTTTTGCAAATCAAACCAATATCAAACCAAAATCAAAATCCAAAAAAACTGGAAGATTTCTGTTTAGGGTTAAAAGCTGCTTTATTAAAGTTGCTTTTGGTGTTTAGCTCCTGGTTTTGCAGCTTTTGCATTTCAGCTCTTGGCTTTGACTTGTTAATAGAGGGCCTTTACAGACTGCCAGAAATAATGCAGCTTGAGGCCACTTTAACTGCTCTGGCTCAGTGCTAAGGAATCATAGGAACTGTAGTTTATTGTGGCACCAGAAATTTCTGACAGAGAAGGCTCAATGTCCCCCCAAAAATACAATTCCCATGACTCCTTAGCACTGAGCCAGGACAGTTAAAGTGGCCTCAAGCTGCATTATTTCTGGCAGTATGTAAAGGCCCTTAGTCTGGGCACTTGGCCCCTAAAAGGTTTGCCATCACTGACCTAGAAGTTTGAGAGAAAACACTTCTCTAGGCATTGGTAGATCTTCCAGCATGATTCTATGATCAATTCCTGGCAGATGTTAACAACAGAGTTGCTCGAGGACCCAGAGATTCCCGGAGAAGTGTTCTCTTAGATAAAAAGAATAGTCGTTTTTTTTATTTGTGTTTTTTCCACATTTACGGGGTCCTTCACCCCTAACCCCAGCGAATATGGAATAACCACTGTATACTACTTTGCCCTAAATTTAATAATGATTCATGAGCAAGCTTTTGAAGCTCCTTGCCCATGAAGAGTATATGATTTCTTTTCAGGATTCATGGGGCATCTAGTCAAACCAGAACTTGCAAACCTTACTCTTTGGACTACAGTTCACAGAATCCCACAGACAGCGTTGGTATTTGGAAAGCAAAGATACCCTAATAGCTGTAATCTGGCCTTGACTGAAACACAGAAAACCCATTTTACACCTCCCACTGTTTCTAACAGCTGGATATGAAAGAATGAAGCCCTAAGTTCAAGATGAAGGAGTCATGGCAGGCCAAGAAATCCTTACACATACTATTGGGATTTTGGCAATCTGGTTAATGGATTTATGATATGTAGGCTTTGTTCTATAGATTAGTGGGACAATGGGCGGTGTACAAAAAAGTAAATAATGGGAAACTTAAGTTAGGTACTCTAGGTAAACAGTTAAGTGACTTTGCATCACTCAACTGAGGAGGGTGTTAACATAAAAATAGGTGTCTCAGAGAAGTTGGTCCATGTTCTGGTTTTATACTGAACTGGGCATCCCACAGCCTGACAACTCTGAGACAGCATAAACACTTCAAATAATCATGCTCAAAGCCTCCTCTCCTCTTTACTCTGCTAAAGCCTGCTCTGGTTTCTAAATCTCCACTCTCCCAACTTTTGCAGAAGATCCTGTTCCAGTACCCTTTTTCTAACAAAGTTTCCATAATCTTCCACTCTCTTGTCCCAGCTGTCCACTAAGTCCCTTTTCCCTTTTATCACTATTATCTGGTTTCTCTTCCCTCTATTCCCATTTATCTGTCAGCTTTCCCTCATTTATCCTAATGCTGCAGCATGGGAATGACTGTATTAGCTGGGTTTTCTTAGGACTTTTCATTTAAAAAAGCATCGCTTCCAATCTCCGAGTCAAACCCATGATCAGATGGGAAATGATGGAATAAACAAGTAGTCTGCCACTTTTGTTCTTTCCAAAGTTGAAGATTATTTTTCTTGGAGCAACAGCAGGCAAAGGAGAACAAAAGGCTTAGGGAAGTGACCAAATTGGACCTCTTAATTTCATTTATATTAATTTAACAATTTAATCAAATGGTTTAGGTCAGTTACAAACCTCAGTGAGACTCAAAGGCAGCCCAACATAATTTGTCATAACTTAGCATGGAAGTCACAAAGGCAAAGAATTTTATGGCTCATTTCTTTTTTAATAATTCTACTCTTTTGCCATTTACCCAACAAAATTTATAAGTCAAAGCTCCTCCTGCCACTTTATCTCAGTTTAGATGAGAAAAGCATCATGTCCTTCATTTCTTCTTCTTTTTTTTTTTTTTTTAAATGCCAAGCTGCTGTGCTGAAGACACAGAAACTAAGGTCCAAAACTCACTATAGAAATAATCCATTTTGAGAGTGCTTTAACTGCCCTGGCTCAATACTAGGAAATCCTGGGAATTATACTTTATTGTGGCACCAGAGCTCTCTGACAGAGAAGGCTAAATGTCTCACAAAACTACAGTTCCTAGAATTCCCTAGCATTAAGACAGGCCAGTTAAAGTGGTCTCAAACTGGATTATTTCTGTAGTGCATTTTGGACCAAAGGCTATGTCAAGTTGATCAAAGTTACAAAGGTTTGTTTCCACCTCAAGATTAATATCTGGAATAATTAGGTATTTCCCAAACTCCAATTAAATTAGGCAGAATTGGAGTATCCTGCAAACAGGCCCTTATGATACACCACAGTACAGTCAGCCCTCCATATCCACAGATTTTTTATCCGTGGAGTCAAGCATCCATAGTTTGAAAATCATTTTAAAAGATATAAATTCCTAAAATCAAAGCTTGGTTTTGGCATCTTATATAAGGGACACCATTGTACAATGCCATTGTATTTAATGGGACTTGACCACCCATGGGTTTTGATGTCCACAGGGGGTCCTGGAATTAAACCTCAGCTAATACCAAGGGCCCACTGTATTGGCCTTATCCAAATGCCTTAGTTCAATTACATCTAGCAAAAGACCTTCATGTGAGCCAGCTGTACAAGTCCTCGACTGCCAGCAAATCCTTGCCTGCTAGATACGTATATATTATTTAATGAAAAACAGGATGTGACCTCCCAATAAATTTCAGAATGTCTCAAATGCTACAACTAAACACCAGTGCAAGACAGTTTGCTGAAGGATATCCTAACAATGTGTCTAGTCTAATGATTCTTTTTTGTTTAAGTCACTCTGAGTTATGCTGCCTCACACTAAAACAAACTTTGGCAATATAAGCATAAATTCAGCTAAAGCTTGGGAAAGTTACTTTTTTAGACTACTAGAATTTCCCAAGCAGCAGCATCAAGGGTGATGCTAATCGGGTGATTCTGAGAATTGTAGCTGAAGAACATAACTTTTCCAAGCTTTAGCTGAATTGACTGTATTAATTGTTTGGTGTTGTCATGTGCATTCAAATCATTTCTGGCTTATGTTGACCCTAAGGAGAATCTATCAACATTTATTCAGAGTGTCCTTTGCAAGACTGGTTCAGAGTGGGTTACCCTTTGCCTCCCTCTGAGGCTGAGAGAGTGGGACTCACCAAAAGTCACCCAGTGGTATGCATCTTAAATTAAGGGACCACTCCTGATTATCCAATCACACAATAAGAGAAAGAGAGAGCCTTCAACATGTCCTAGCATCTTGTCTGGTCTAAAGGCTTGGTTTTTGTGCAGTACACATTAATTCATGAAAAGCATTACAAAATAAGCTTGGAATGTCTTAAATACACACACTCATCACCAGGAGACTTTCTCCTATGAATCACCTATCTGGACAAAGATTATACAGTCGGCCCTCCATTTTCGCAGGGGATCCATTCCAGACCACCACCACCCCATGAAAATGGAGATTTGCAAATATTCAAGCCCCATAGGCTTGAATGGGCATTGATTTAAACGGAGGTCGCCTGTCCATGAATATGCAAAACCACGGACTTCAAGTCTGCGAAAACGGAGGGGTGACTGTATTATATCAGCATAATGACCCCATGTGAATTATACTCCTTTACCAAGAAATGCATAAATTGGGAAGCAGGAGGATGGCTTGTGCTCCTGACACAAATCTTCAGTGATCCAAAACCGGACATGACACCACCAGCACAACTGTTTCCCAAAACAAGACTAGGTTGAATATTTTGTTGTTGTTAATTGCCCTCAACCCATGGCGACCCTATGGATGAATTATTGCAGTTTGACACTGTTATGGAATCCTGGCATCTATAGTTTGTTGTGGCACCAGTATTCTCTGGAAGAGAAGGCTAAACATCTCACAAAACTAAAAATCCCAGAATTCCATAGCATTGAGCCATAGCACTTAAAGTGTGTCAAACTGCATTAATTCTGCAGTGTAAATGCATCCTAGGTCTTCTTTTGGAAAACAATTCTCCTGGTGGTGTCATGTCTAGTTTTGGATCACTAAAGACATGTGCTATGAACACGTCAGTTCCCAATGACTCAATGAATTTACTCTAATTTGGGCTGCTAACTGGATTTAGGACTTTGTCCAGAATGGTGTAGTGGTTTGAGCATTAAACTAGGACTCTGGAGATCAAGGTTTGAATCCTGGCTCTGCCATGTAAACCCACTGGGTGGCCCTGGGCAAGTCACACTCTCTCAGCTTCAGAGGATGGCAATAGCAAATCCCCTATGAAGAATCGTGCCAAGAAAAGCTCATGATAAGGTCACCATAAGTCATAAAAGTCTTGAAAGCAAACAACAATGAACAACAGCCACAAGTTATACATCTCTTCCTGCAGTATAATATTCCCTGTATGAATATCTAGTAATGCATGGGAATAGGGTGGGGTTTTGATTTTGTGCTTTGGTGTTAATTGCAGTCAATCAGAACTCGCCTTAGGAAGCACCTTGATTCCTATAGGGAGGCTTTGCG